AGTGGACCTAGAGAAGGCTGGAACTAGCTCCTGAAAAGCCATCAGAACTCACGCTGTGCCCTCTCTCTTCTTCTCCCCTCTACTTTTCTCTGCATGTCTACATCATTCTCTCTCAGTAGTCTGAACATCCATGTCTTTGGGGTTTGCATATTTTAAGTTCAGTCACTCAGAGAGACTGAATCTCTGCCTGTCTTGGAGAAAGAGAAACTCTGATTAGGTCAGACAGCCTTCTCTGGACAGCTAGCTATGGCCCTGGAGGCAGGATCACGTAGCAGAAATGTGATGACTGAAAACCCTGTCCCATGTGTTGGGTTGAGCAGACAACCCAGTAGTGGCAATTAATAGTAAGGTATGATTTTTTTTCTTTTTTTTTTTTTTTTTAACTTGGGGAGGGGAGGATGAATTTATGTTAATCGGAGAAAATTTAGAAAAAGAGAAAAGCAAAAAATATCATCCTTATTTCCATCTCCAAGAGGTAACACTGTTAACATTTGGCGTTATCCTTCTCTTCTCTGTGAGTTTATTATTTCTTTTACAGAGGTGAAATCTATTCCATAGTCTGCTTTTCTCACTTAATACAGATAAATGTGTTTCCTTGATATGAAATCTACTACAGTATACCGTAACCATCCCCTAATTTTTCACCATTCAGTGAGATAAACATCTTTGTGGCTAAATATTTAAACACATCTATGATTAATTTCTAAGGATATTCTTAGATAATTGCTGATTTTGTAAATAAACATTTTGAGTGCTTTAATGAGTACAGCCATTTCCTTATAGAAGCCATGTGGCCTGTTGTAGTTCCGGGTGGAAAACCCCACCACACAAGCTGATACCATGCCTCACAAGTCGAAGGCCAGCTGGCTGGCATAGCCTCTTAAGGGCTCATTTGTATTGGTGAATTTACCATGATCCAGTGATCCCTCTAGGCTCAGAAACTTTTTTTTTTTCTTTTTGATGCAGTACTAATAGATCAGACTATTAGGGGAAAATTTCGTATTAACTAGGTGAGACTGATGAACATGTTTGTCTTCTATCTAGTCTATATATACTTACTGGCAGTAAGAAATGGAACTGCCAAGCCAACTAGGTATTTTAAAGTCTGTCTGCCCAGCATATTCTCTTACTATGGACAGGGCACTACATGGGACTCCACAAAGTATTCAAAGGTTGTTTGACAAGCCTGGAACCCAAACAAAGGGAGCCAGCAGATCTTTACAACTAGAGTTGTCTCAGCTAGTGTAGCTTGAGGACAGGACGTATCACACACCCTAAAAATATTCTTGCTAAAAGCCATAAATATTCAAGTTAGATAACTTAGCTAAGATTCCGTCTCCCTTAGACATGACTTAAATGGGCACAACGGATGTTTGCTTCTGTGATTATTATATACTCATTTGTTCATTCATTCATTCACTCAGTACTTTCAGGGCTGACCAGTCTCCTCTTCTGGAAAATGGTTCTTTCTTTAGATAAATTAATACACTGAGTTTGGTGACTGTCATATTTTATAGATTAGAAAGTCATTTTGTATCTTTAGGGCTTAAAATCTCGTATCTCTTTTAATCCTTTTTTTTAGTTTTATGGTTTGATTTTCAGATGTTTTTGAATTTTGGAATGGTGAATAGACTCTACCCCTAACATCTCCTCCCTTCCGACTTCCCGCCATATGGAAACATGCTGCCTTTCCTACTGTGTTTTTTAATATATTCACTTATTCTTCCCATAAACCAGGCTCTCTTTGGACTGTTGTTGATGAAAGTCAGTTCGGCAGTTCATCTGTCTGTGGCATATTCGCCATTAATAATAAATAGGTCCGTTATTGCAGCCAGCAATTCCCTGTATTTCACCTTAGAGATTCTTTTCTTTTTTTAGTTGTGGTGATTCAACCGTTTTACGTGTACAATTCAGTGACAGTATAGATTTACTTTTCCCATGTTGCGTGGCCATCGTCACTCACCTTTTTTGATTCTTAACTGTTGGATAAATGTAAATAATGAACCTGAATCTGGTAATTATTACACATGGCTTGTTGATTTGGTTTAGAATATCCTGTGGATTTATTGTTATTTTATCTTTCAAGTAAATCAAAGAGTGTGATGTTTTAATTTGCTCTTTTTTAAGTATTTACCATTAGAAAAGGGATGGTTTCGTTGTCACACTTTCCCGGGAGCGTACAGTGAGACTAAAGCAGCGAGTATTTGTTGTTTTGTCACAGCAGAAAATTACTGAGTAGAATTTTTTCTTTAAGAATTAATGAAATAAAGTAGCATTCACTCTAAAAGTAGAATGTACATGTATCCAGAAATATATTCATCCTGCAACCATCATCTTGACTGCCTTATTGTTCCAGTTGCGGTTATCAGCTGGAGTAACGTATTTCCTTGAAGGCAGTCCAGCTCTTTATTGAGATTTAAGTATTTTCCAAGCTCAACAAACAAATGAGATCACCGGGCTTATCTCTGGAGCCCTGGTGGCGCTATGGTTAAGAGCTCAGCTGCTAACCAAAAGGTTGGCAGTTCCAGTGCACCAGCCTCTCCTTGGAAACCATATGGGGCAGTTCTGCCCTGTCCTGTGGGGTCACTATGAGTCAGAATCGACTCTATGGCAACGGGTTTTAGGCGTGTCTCTAATGAAATTAAAAGCTGTTTGGTTTTAAATAGGACCTTCAATACAGACAAAACTGGTACAGTAGTTTGCTGATCTTTCAGATAAGTATACATTCCAGTAGACGCTGAAGTGACCCTCTGCCCACCAGTGAGTGGGACTAAACGTTCTGAGCCATTAACTGTTTGTGCTGCTTTCTCTTCCTGTTCCGGGCTTCAGAAACAGACAATGTATGTTTATCAGGCTAAGACATCTTTAAAAAGGCAAGCAAGTTCAGACAAAGGAAGGTATAAAACAAAATACTACAAGGGAAAGTGTAAAACAAAATGCTAAAATAATTACCTTTGCTGTTAACGTTAAAAGTATTAGCAGTGATTCAACCCAAGTGACAGTGTTTGACAATTAATAAGGCTTTGGGGCATATCACATGGCTGTGTCTTAGAAGTAGTCTTAGAAGTATGTTAAGTGTGATTCTAGGAGACGATACCTCTATGGAAAGAACGGTGGGTCAGTAGTTGTACCACCAGAGTGTCTAGTGTGTACATTTCCTTCACTTTTAATGTTATTACTTTGGAATTATTTGGAAAATAATAAATATTTCCTGATAATATTTGAATGCATCTGTTAATGTGTTACTGCATACTAGGTCAGGGCTACATGATTTGCTGGATTCTGAAAGCAATTTTTGTTGCATCTGTGAATAAAATTCTTTTCTACAAGTATTTATTTCTGATTTTATAATGGAAAAAGTATACCTTGCATGGACTAGGTGAATGATTCTACTAGTCAAAATAGCTCAGAGTAAATGTAGCTAGAATGTAGCAGCTGTTAAAGAAGATATGCCAGTATTGTGCTTACTTTGTTTTTTTCGTAGTGGAACTGTGTTACACAGCACTGACTAAAACCAGAAGTTAGTATTCTGCTGTGGGTTTCCTCTCCACTTTTAAGTAAGAGAAGAAAAATTGTTGGCATTTCTCTTTGTGAAGCATAACATTGCAGCAACCATAAAATGCGGTTGCAGGACTTTTCTCATTTAGATATTTGTGAAAAAATATGAAAGCCAGAGACTTTAAAAATCTCCAGAAGTAATCTATTTAGCATTATGGACAAGAAAAAAATATTGGATAAGTATTAGTTTTTCTTGTTTCTGTCTTAGAGTTACACTACAAAATAAGGAAGCCAGTGATCACCGTAACCTTCGGGTTCTCTTCATGCTCTTCAGAGTCGTGTTTTTCATTCTAAAAACAGCCTACGCTCGTTCACATTTTGAAAATTTGTAGGGATAGAAAGGCAAGCGCCACACCATCCAGAGACAACCATCACTAGCGTTTTGGTGTATTCTTTCCAGACACATACTTGCATAATTTTCTGTTTTTACATGGTTGTGACCATACTTCATATACAATTTTTCATCTTTTTTGTTTAACATTCTTCATTATAAACTCTGTTAACATCGTTTTTAATGACTGCCCAACATCTTGAGTTTGTATTTTATATTTACTTAACTTTGTATTTTAGAAAATAGTTTCTGAATACATACACTCCTTTCCAACCAGGCAGCCAGTTACCATTGAGTCACTTCCAACTCATGACGATCCCATGTGTGTCCAAGTAGAACTGTGTTCCATAGGATTTTCAGTGGCTGATTTTTCTGAAGTAGATCCCCGGGTCTTTCTTCCCAGGTGCCTCTGAGTGGACTCGAACCTCCAGCATATCAGCCGCTGAGCACAGTAACTAACCATTTGCACCACCCAGCGACTCCATATGCTCCTTTAAGAGGGTGTTTTAGAATAACAATCTGATGAAAAAGCACCGTTTTCCTGCAACTAAAGAAGTGCATTATCTTACCTTGTGTGCCTGTGCATAATTGCAAGTGCTGCACAGCTGCACTGGATTTGCAAGTCATCCTTAAATGAACCACCGTTTCCACTGAGTTAGGTAGAGGCTTTGGACTGCTTTACGATTTTTAAGTCAAAACCCATAGAAAATGAGATGATGAAAATTCTCTGAAAATGACTATGGTGATGGTTGTATATATCAGTAAATATACTAAAACCGGTTCAGTTGTGCACTTTAAATGGATGAATTGTATGGTAAGTAAATTATATCTCAGTAAAGCTATAAATATATGTAAAAGAAAAAGAAGCCATAGGAAGAAATACCCATTGGAATTTTCTGTGAAAAAATGATAGTACTAACTCCCTTATAAATGTTCTCAAATGAAGTAATTGCCAGCCAATATTATCCAACACATGCAGAGAATAAAGTCAACTGTTTGCTTCATACTAGTGTTTCTCCTTTTTTATGATAGTGCTGTATTTTTAGGATTTCAAACAATCTTAAGTGTATTTTAATTTCTTATTATTTGTGAATTATTTTAATTACTTTAGGTCAACTGGTTATTCTGAGGTGATAGTTGTTGTTGGAGGCTGTGAACGAGTTGGAGGATTTAACCTTCCGTACACTGAGTGCTATGATCCTGTGACAGGAGAATGGAAGTCTTTGGCTAAGCTTCCAGAATTTACCAAATCAGAGTATGCAGTCTGTGCTCTAAGGAATGACATTCTTGTTTCAGGTAAATAAAGAACTATTACAGTAGCTACTTTTATTTTGAGCAGTTTGGCCGTAAGTATCTTAAAAGATAACGGTGAAATGTGGATATGCTCACTTATGGGTGTATCAGTTTGCACGACAAAGAAAGCCAAGACTGACTTTTTACTCCAAAATACAGACACAAGATGATGCAGAATGATTTAAAATCAAAATGATTTACAAGAGATCTGCCAGAAAATGCCTTTAATCATATATTCTAAAGATTCTCAAATATATATGAATATGGTATAAATTCCTAAACTTTACCAAAAATAAAATGGACAATAAAGTGACAGACTTATACGAAGTATAACTACAGTATTTGTAGTTTGAAGTCTGTTTACTGGTTAAATAATTTTACTAGCCCTGCAGATTACTATATTACTACACACTGCACAGCGTAACAACATACACTTTATTTCGTACAATAATATGCTCTTTAAAGAAAGGGTGATTTCACAACGTTTTCAGAATGATTCTATTGGTTGTTGCTTTTGGTGTCTGACTGCTAGATTAACAATGTATACATTTGTAAAATTCATACTCTGTGTCTTATTATTTTGGACGTACAATCATTACTTCTCTCAAGATAACAGTTGGCAAAGTTCATTTATTGAACTGAATTCTCAAATTCTTGGATGGGGTGAATAAATCTCTGGTTTTATGAACTTTGCCTTGGTGGCATAAATCCCTTGGTGACAGATATACGGTGATATATTACTATATGTGCATTGCTTTGCATTTAAAGGTGGAAGAATCAATAGCCGTGATGTCTGGATTTATAATTCACAGTTAAACATTTGGATCCGAGTTGCCTCTCTAAATAAAGGCAGATGGCGTCACAAGATGGCTGTCCTCCTTGGTAAAGTAAGAGAAACCACTTTTTATTAGTGTCGCTAGTGCTTTTCCAAAATAAATACCACAGCTGAATCCTTCAGTTTACTCTCCCTCGGGATGTTTTGGATTCAAATTGTATTTCCTTCCATTTCTAGCCTCAGTAGATAAACTAAAGATATAAACAATTTGACGCTACTTTTGCATAGATATTTTGTTCTCCCAGTTTGGAATTGGTGACAGTACAGCACATTTTTCATGCACCATTGGAGTGTAAATGCTTAAGAAGAGTTGGAAAACAGAGGAATTGCATCAAGTACAAAAACAGGCCAATGTCTAATCCAAGCCAGTTTTTTCCTTTTTACTGATTTTGGCAGTTAAACAGAGATACGTTTATCTAGAGTGATATTATCTTTTTATTTGTACAAGTAGATACAAAATGTATTTAAATATTCAAATAGCTGGGCAGAGGGCTGTGGGGACCATGGTCTCAGGGAACATCTAGCTCAATTGGCATGACACAGCTTATAAAGACAATGCTCTACATTCTACCTT